CTTCTTCTTCTCCTTTTCACTTGAGCAGTTTCTCTCTACATCGGCAATGGCCCGACCTAGATCACCAGTTGGCTCATCTGATGCCTCTTCTTCAGCTTCTTCCCGCATTGCCGGCTCAACTTCTTCCCCCATTATTGTATCATCGTATTCAGGGAACCCATGGCCAGGATAGCTATCGTCGTCCTCTTCTTCTTCATGTTCGTCCATCATAATCCCTCTTTCTTCGTGCTTGGTCCAAACATTATAGTGGGGCATGAAACCGTACTCAAACAGGTGGACGTGAATGGTTCTTGAGTTAGAGTAATTGTGATCGTTCTTACAGCCAGCGCATGGATAAGGCATAAAACCACCCGCCCGCTTGTATGCCTAAGCCGCAATCAGAAAAGTATGCACGCCCTCAATGAACTGGGGAGAGCATCGGTCATCGTACATCCATTGTCGGCTCATCTTCATTACACAGCACCGAATAGACCAAATTAATACAAGTTCATACAACACTTATTCTCATAAAACAAACATATAAATAACTCTCTAACTAAAGCATTTAAATGCAACAACAAATGTGATCAAGATCGCAACTAAGGTAACAATTGATCCAACAACATAATGATATCAAGCCTCACTATCAATGGCATATTTTCTAATCTTTCTAATCTTCAAGCGCATTTTCTCCATCTTGATCTTGTGATCATCGACGACATCGGCAACATGCAACTCCAATTCCATCTTCTCCCCCTCAATTATTTTCAATTTTTCTTTCAAATACTCGTTTTCTCTTTCAACTAAATTTAACCTCTCGACAATAGGGTCGGTTGGAATTTCCGGTTCACATACCTCCTTGATAAAAATATCTATGTCAACTTGATGGGCATAATTTTTCATAAACACAAAATGCAACAAATAGTTACAAAAGAAAATATACCACATCCGAATCATAACTCGGACGAGGGCCGACGGGGACGGATATCAAAACCATGGCACTATGAATAACAAACAACATACGGGTAAGATAATTATACAAGTAACTATATATCTAAATCACACAAACATGATTTTTTTTATATAAAAAGATAAGAACAAGAGCTTCACCCCAAGGACGTGGTGCCGGTGACAGGACGGTGCGGACGATTGACAGTGGTTAGGACGGAGATGGGAAGGCTCTAAGTAAACCACACCTACATATGAAAACTAAGAGTTATTTTGAGCTCAAATTGCATATAAATCAAATAAACTACCACATATAATTCCTCCCAAATTACTAAAACCCACCAATTAATCACTATATAAAGTATTGCAAGAGCTAATCTAGCAATAAGAGATGAAAGGACAAAGTTGCTTACCTCTGTGATCACTTGAATGGATGGGGGCCTTCAAACCTTGACAAAATTTGGGCAAAATGTGTGATGAGCTCGAGGAAGAGGGGAAGAATAGAGAGGAGAGGGGAAAGGGGAAAAATAGAGCGAGCTCGATCGTGGGTGGACGAAGGTTTTATATAGGACGACCTTTACTACCGGTTCATGGCACGAACCGGTACTAAAGGTGCTGGAGGGGCCCTAGTCTGATAACATCCCGCCACCACTCTCTTTAGCACCGATTCATGGCACGAACCGGTGCTAAAGGTTCGCAACGAACCGGTACTAATGAGAGCGGCCCGCCTAGCCGTTGGAACCGGCACTAATGGTCACATTAGTGTCGGCTCAAATACAAACCAGGACTAATAAGTTGAACATTAGGCCCTTTTTATACTAGTGTGACCTCGAGTGGCGGGCATGGTCAAAAACCCATCACTGCTATTTTGAAAAGTAGCAGTGGTGGGTGAAAATAAAGGCCTGCCGTTGCTCTAGGCACAACAGTGGTGGGCGCCAAACCTCACCCGCCACACGTAAAGTCTTCCAAATTTCCCCGCGGGATGGAAACAACTGTGGCGGGCAGGTGGTAACTATCTGCCACTGAATTGTCATGAACTAGTGGTGGGCGATAAAAAAGCCCGACACAGCTATATTTCGGTGACCCGTGCCAAAATTACCAATAGTTTGCAGTGGCGGGTGCTATTACCCATCCTCCACACATATAAACCCGTTGGGGACTTAGGCGGTTTCCACCAAAGCCTGTTTTAGTTCCCCCAGAATTTCCAAATCAACCGCGGGCCCGCATCCTTCCTTCATCCATTGCGCATGACCCCCGCACCCTTCCATCCTATCTGCCATCGTGCCCGCTCACCGCGCCCTTGCTTCCTCTCTACCATCTCAGCGTCACCTCCGTAGCGCCCATCTACTTGACAAAACCCCACCGCCATCTCGGCATCGCCTCCGCTACCTGACAAGGATTATTCAGCACAAAGAATTCGGCATAGACTTGTTAGCTATAAACAGAAGAAACACTATCAAGAGTACATAAAATATCATGGAAGGCACTCCATTCTTCTCTACATTCATCAAGCTTTCAATTTGCACTAACTTCTCACTGAAAGCCCTGATCTCCTCACTTTGCCTTATGATCAGTGTCTCGGTGGCACCTTAGGTTGTGCATCAGATCCTACATCACAACATTCTTTCTCTTTTGTTTTTTCATCCCAATTCCCAGTTTTGCTTTCATTTTCCTAAGTTGAACATTCCACTTTTGAGTGTTCCGCGTTTCACAAATTAATCAAAATTTGATGAAGAATGGCGTAGTAAGTTTATCAAACTACTCAAATATTTTCACCCTCAACGCTCACCAAAAATCATACAAACTAGATAAGAGAGAGACAGAATGAGCATGAGCACAACGCAAAATTAAATGCAATAGTTACCCAAGCTTTCTCACATTTCTGATATATGTGCCTCGCTCCAAGAGATCCATCTCGCCACCTTGTTCTCGTATCAACACAATTGCGTCGACTTGCAGGCTAGTTTGTGCTCGTGGTACAGAATTGGAGAGGGGTAATGATAGTCATGGTGCTCGACATAAAGAGGAGGAGCGCGTACCAGTCATCTGGTATGTGACCGTACCGCCGTCACCACCACCATTGGGAGATCCGTCAAAGCCATTGGGTCGTTCTCGCATGGAGCTAGGGTT